AGCCACCAGGAGGTGCCACGTGGCAAAGCTATGCCTACGGCAAAGCCCTGCCTCCAGGCCAAACCAGGGGGCGACACGTGGCATAGATTTACGGCTTGGCCGTCGGCATAGATTTAATCTATGCCAACGGCCAAGCCGTCGGCATACCTTTGCCACGTGTCTTCTCCTGAGTCGCCAGCGGTTTTGACGGCGCCGTCTGTTGCCGTCAGACGGAAAACAACGCCGATGGCTAAACTATGTCGACGGCTGCCCCACGGCCGTCGGCATACGCTCCTATGCCGACGGCTATACTACGCCGACGGTCTGACACAACTACGCTGACGTGATCTACACCGACGGGGCTATGCCGACGGCAGCTGTAGGCATAGATCTATGCCGACGGCATAGGACCTATGCCGACGGCCCTGGGCCGTAGGCATAGCCCGCGAGTCGGGTAGTGACGCTTGGCGGCTGAAGCAGGCTTTCTTCCTCTCAGTCCAGGTGGTCTTGGGAGACCACTGGAAACCTTTGCGTCTTTCGCTTGCATCAATGGCATGAGCAAGTACGCCTGAATAAACAGCCTCAGCACGATCAGGTAACTCTGAAAAATCAGGACGATCTCGAGCACTTTGGACGAAGTTGAGGTAATCCTGCGTGTCATAACAAAGCTGCCGAACTATCTTCATCCACCACCTGGCCATGAAGCTAGCGCCGTCGTCTTTGGACATACTCTTCAGGGGGATGCATACTTCCCTGAGAGCATCTCTAAGAAGACGAAGCTCCTCCGCACCGAGAAGACTCTGTCCGGAAGAATCGAGTTCCTGGAGGAGGAGGACCGACGGACCCAGCATAACAGTAACAGGAGCTTGCATCGCTGCTCCAAGATCACCTATCCCTGCCGACGCTATCCCCGCCCTTAGGAGCGCGGCTTCTAGACGATCCTCCATCTCCGCCTTCTCCACCTGAAGCAAGAATCACGGATGATTATCGACCCATCAAAGACAATCAGATGATTAATTTTTGTTTGTAGTTTCCTCTGGATGCACGACAAAGGATAGTCGCGAGGGAAACAGTACCAGGGAAATCTCGATTTTGATGAGGCTATCAAATGGCAGAGAAAGTAGTGCGTGGACAAAGTGAAACAACACAACTCAACAGGCCCCTATCCCCTCTACATACACGGGGAAGGAGAGGAAGGATTGGGTGCTTAGAAGACCGGACCAGTGAGCTGTGAGTGAACCGGCCAAGCAACTGGTTCACCGGTTCGCCTCTGCTCTATGAAACCGTCGCTCCTCCAAAAAAACGTCTCTCATGTCATTTTTTTATCTGAACAACGGTATAGGACAGGCTTTTTTTTATAGAAAGAATTGTATGACCATGATTCGACCATCAAGTCACCGCAGCTAAGAGGAGAACTCTGAAGCACCCTCCTCCACCAAGGTAGAGAACTTCTGCCCCCTTCCATCTCCCTCTCTCTTCCATTTCAGGCAACACTAACCCCTCTTTGCCGTGCATATGCAGATCTAGGGAGGACAGGAGGAGTGATCTGTGGAGGCAAGGAAAGAGAGATCGATGGAGTTTGCTGTGGCGGCATTTAGCTCGGTAGCTGGCGTCGCCGTGTCGAAGCTAAGCGGTGTGAAGGGGAGGCCGAACACTGATGCCAGGAGCATTAGTCACGATCTCAACTTGATCAAAGCTACCATGCTAGATCATGCTGACCATGTCCGGCCTATGAGTTTCTTGCGGTCAGAATATTTTGCACAATTGAGGGCCTTGGCATGTGACATCGAGGACTGTATAGACTGCTTCAACGCCAAGATGACGACTGATGATGAATTTGCCACCGAAATTGCCCGACTCAAGGAGAGCTCAACTGAAACGACTGACATTTTAGACGGAAGAAAGTATTCTCATTTGTCTATTGCCCACCCTGATATGCCAGTCAAGCTCGGTGGCATTCATGTGCGGTTGTGTTAGAGGAGGCATGTGATTCCTAACATAAGCTGACACTCAAAATTTATTTCACATTAGTTTTTTAATTATTTATGTGGGAGGTCATAAAGAGTCTCTACTAGTATAATGCACAATTTAAGATGGTTTACTAGTCATCTTTGACATTTTATTGAATAAATAATACATATGCAACGCATTTAGCCGACAGGCAGATCAGATGACCGATTGTTATTCAAGGCTACATGAAGCATCCAGTTCAAAAGGGTGCATCTAGTGATTACCAACAGATCTCTATGTTTTGTGAATGATGTGATAATAATGGTATCCAAGAATATGTTGCCTTATTTCTTGCTGAAATCATCCACTTGGCTCCATGGAAATTGGGTTATCGAACCATCGTTTTTCTTGTGTTTCTAGTGATGATACACAAGCAATGGTTTTGCACATTATTGGATACACAAGCAGGAAGGACATCCGCATATTGTTGCAACTTTGTCCTCCAATTGCTCTCCTAATAAATGCTTTTACAATCTACTATATAGAAAATATCGAAGCTTTGACAGGAGAGATTACACACCTATTCCTCTATGGTTCATCACGACTATCACGTGCCATATTGCTTGTTGCAGTAATTTGGGAAATGTCGTTAACTTGGGAAATGACGTATTAGGGTATAAATACAAGCTTGTTGGTGTTGTTTGTCCATTTGCCGTACGAAGCTGGTAAACTCAAATGCGCCAAGTGCAAATACTACTCTTGTG